CGGTTCACTTGCGATGAAAGACACGTGAATTAAATCAGACGTTAATTCAATGGTCTGTATAATTGTAGTGTCTTTCGGGCTACTAATAGCTCTCTCTCTCTCTCTCTCTCTCTCTAACCATTAAAAATGATTTTTGATTTTAATTTTAAAAAACAAATTCCCAATACTATTATATAATTCAGACGTCATGTTATAGTTATTAATAAAAATAAAAAGTTATAAAAATTGTATGTAATAAAAAATGTGCAATACAAATACTATATAAGTTATATAATCAGGTTAACATTGAAAATAAAATTCAATATCGTGGATAAATATCAAATAAATATAGACTTCATATACTTATATTTAAATTATTTATATTAAACATGTATTATATAATAAAATTATGCAATAAAAAGTTTATTTTTAACTTTTCATTCAGAAAACCTAAAAATAGCATTATTATATTAATGATAAATATTTTTACTATTTTTATTTAATATTATACTAAAAATATTACAAATATTCATAATATTTAGGCATATATTTGGCGGAATGGCTAATAAAATATACTTCAATTAATGCCTTATGAATGCAATCCCTATTCAATAAATATTCTGTATATTTAAATCTCTTATGAAATTCTCTATTAAACATGAGTTAACATAATATTCTTAGAATTATTCATATTTTTGTTTTTATTACTCAAATATTTTAATCATTTACTTTCTAATGTTAAATTCATATGAAGTATTAATAATAAGGTTTTAATAAAATATTATATATTATAATAAAGCTATTTATTATATAAAAGTTAAAACATATTATTCTGAAATATATGAGCAATATTTGGATTAAATTTTTATAAAACTTTATTAATTTTTGTTTTTATTGGGAAAACTACTTAAAGAAAATATTTTAATACTTTTATTAAAAGATTTGAGACTTTATATGATTTTGATTTGACTTAAAAAGTCTTAAATTCAATGATAGATTAATGTTAGCTTTAATTTGAAATAAAAATAATATTTAATAAAATGTTCTTTATATTTTATTTAATAAAGTATTTGACATTTAATATATCAAATTAATTAAAATTATTAATATTATAATACAGTATGAAAAACATTTATTTATTAAATATACAGTATATTAATCCGTATATTAAATAATAATAAACAAATTTCAAGAAGTAAACATTTACTAAGATAACATAAATTAATGATTATATTTATCCATAGATTAATAAATTAAAATTAATTTTGCATAATTATATACAATCTGTTTCTACTTTAAAAGTTTTAATTAAATTTATATCTCATACAAAAACAGAAATTGTAATTAAAATTTCTACCATTAATTAGTTGACAAAACTTTGCCTATAATTTATGATACATATAAATAGTAGGCGAGTGTGTCCCGATAGGGAACTCATATTATTATTATTATTATTATTAATTATTATGAATATAAAATTATAAATTTAATATACACATGGTGATTTATTTCTTAAGTTAGTACATAATAAATAAATTATATATAAGTCTTAAGAATACTACTTATTATACTAAGCGTGGTGAATTATTTTTCAAATATTTTTAATTATCATCAAATTCTGTGAATTCATAATTTCTTTATACGTTATGATTAAAAATATATATAACTTATAATTAAGTGAAACATATTTCATAGGAAATTCTGTGAGCATATTATTCTTAGAAATTATTAACAAACAGAATATTCCGTGAATATAACAGTGCATTTAAAAAGCTATACAAAAAATATTTTTACATTTTTTAAACGTTAGATTAATTTTTTCATAAGAATAACTAAATTATTGATTAGTGTCTCACAAACCCGTCGTAAATGTCTTTACGAGAGACTAAGTTATGATTAAATATTTAATTATATTTTTCATCCAATTTTTGTTTTGTGTATCAGAACAGCAAAAATCAATTTTATTGATACAGTCGGTGCCCTCGCTATTAACACACGACATACATGTTCCGCACAATACAATCTTATATCTAAAAGCTTTCATAATATAAATCTAATCCTTTATTCAAAAAGTAAAAAGTATTAGAGAGAGAGAGAGAGAGAGAGAGAGAGATCTACTTTACTGTATCTGAAAAAACTTTTTTTTATTCATTGAAAATCTTTTTTTCTCATTCATTGCCAAAACAATTGATAACATCTTTGAATCGTTGAAAACCTTATTCACAGAATCCCTGTTCACCACAGAATCCGCACAAGTATTACATAAATATATCTCTTTTTCATATCTTTTAATAATAATCTTATACTCTATTAATCACTAATAACATGAAAACTGTGTGTTTTTCTAAACGCAGTCAACATTTTTTCTCTAAATGTATTTGCTTTCAATTCACAGTACATTAGGTATTAATAATGTATATTTCACTATCAGTTAATATACAGTACAGTGTATCACAAAATATATGTGGAAACAATAATTAAAGGTTGTATTTATGTACTGTACACTCTGCTTTCATATAACTATACAGTAATTCATGTATTAATATAGTTATGTAAAAGCAGTGTTAAGTATATATTTTGATTTCTGGGCCCATATTATAAACATAACTTTCATTAAATACAGTGTATTCACTAATTAAATACAAAAATCGTTATAAATATTTTAACGCAAAAAAATATATCTCATATCAAAACCTGAAATCATTCATACATTCATAGATTCATATAAAAGATATGTTTTTTGATAAGAGATAACATTGTTGTCATACAATGTGTATCACAAAAAAAACTTATTATTTAAAGATTAATAATAACATATGGTTTGAGAATATTCTTATATCTAACTATAGACTAGTCTATAATAACACTACAGAATATTCTGTGTAATAAACTTTGTGTTGATGTTTTCAATATATTATTTATACTTATATTTAGGCATAAAATTTATCGGAAGTCCAGACATAAAAATAGTTGGTTTTAGTTGTTATTGAAAGGAAATACAGTACATAACAAAAAATACATACAAATACATACATTTTTATCTCTTTCTATACTGTAGTGAATATTTATGATATTCTCTATACATGTATTGGAATACAAAAAATATATAACTTTTTTTTATAACGTTATGACGAAAGCTATACTATATTTATAGCGGAATATAATATAAAAACACAATTGTATTGAAGAATATATTATTCAATACTTATGTATAAAATATTTTTAACGCAAAAATAGTTTGTATACTGAATATTGATATCAAATGTGGGTTTTGTGTATAAAAACATTTTTCACACATGATTTATTAACTATTTATGGGAAATGTAATTAAATTTATTATAAACACCAAAAAGTGTTAAATAGTTTTCTAGTCATTAATGTTAAAAGTGTTTACAATTTGTGAAAAAACTTTATAAAAACAAATAGTTTTGCGGTAAAAAACCTCTAAAATAAAATTCTTGAGATATAATTAAGTATCAGATATAAGGGTCGACCATAATTTCATATATAATCCCATACATTAACTTCATTAGTGATTCACTGAATATTCTCCAAGAATTTAATCTCTCTCTCTCTCTCTCTCTCTCTCTCTGGAAATTAATTATCTATTTCTTATAAACAATTATTCATAGATTTTCTACTTAATTACTGTATATAAATACGAAAGTAATTTTACCCAGATGTTTTATCATTTAAATTGTGTTTAGCGAGTATACTTAACAGTTTAATAAATTCATTCATACAATACTTGGTACTAAACCTAAGGCTAGAAATAGCATTGCATTCCTATATTCCGTATAAATGATAGAAAATGTGAGGCTTTTCGCATCAATACACATGAAATAAATTTCTCTATTATTGGTATTTATCTGAATTGATACCTGACTTAACTTTTATTATATTATTCATTCACGCGATAAATACATGTTATATAAATCATAATTAAATACCTAATACTATATCATTTTATTTAGTAAAAATAATATTTAATAATTTAATTTTTACAGACTAATTTATTTAACTAAAGTAACTTAATTACATTTTATAGGTTAAACATTAATTTAAATATTTGTAAATAACATACTATAATAAGAATTAAAATAAAACTTAATATTTTAGCAAGTATAAACTAAAGCACTCAAAATAGCAAACATAATAAAACAATTATTATGCAGCATGGTAGATCCATTTATTATAGTAGGCAATCGTAACCTTCTACAATCTTGTAAATTACCAGGGTAATGATATAGCAAGCACATATTTGACTCTCGGTCCTTTCTAGCCCTGATCAAATCATCAATCAATGTCTGAATTTCATTATTATAAACACAATTCACCTTTCAATTAAATAGAATCAAATTTTAATTTACACTTAATTATGAGCTAGCATAAACTTTTATACAACCAATTTATTGGCTTTCCATAGTAGGCAATCCGAATAAACGGCTGCCACACAGCACCGGTATGTCAGTGAGTGATTGGCAAAGTTTAGATACCTGGCCCCGGGTACCCGACTGTATAAACATTGTTGACCGGGGGCTATATTCCGAGTGAAACAGGCGTTACGTTGCAATATTATCTGTGAACTTATGTTCTGGGCTAATAAATTAACTAGGTCATTTGAATAACATAAAATTGTCGGTATAATTAGCACAAATGTAGCATAAAATAACAATTTTGTTTTGAGCATAATGTTAATTTTTATATTTATTTAGAATTTATTTAAAACTTATAAAAATGGCATAGTAAATATAAACATATAATGTTTTGATAATTTAATATTTGATAATAGATTTGAAATTGACGTTATTTATATACTTAATGAAAATACAATAATTATTACTTTATTGAAATATCTATTAAAAACAAACTTTACAAATTTTGATTAATAAAAATACGGATATTATGAACCAATCGTAGAATTGTATATAAATATAATCATTTAAGTTAATAAAATTATGATGAGCACCTACACAATGTTATCAATGCTAGTTTTTATACATACAACTATTGTGATAGCTTAGTCAAACCTGTTTATTAATAATAGTTTTCATAAAAAATTACATTTTTGGTCAAATAATTGTAAACGCCCTGATGCAACATTAATTATAGCAATATATTTCTATACATACGAAACTATAAAATTAAATATATACGCTATACTAATGCATTATTTAGTTTTTATATTTAGAAAAAAATCATATTATAACAAACAAATTTATATATACAAATATAGTACATTATAATATTATATATTATATTTTTAACATTTAACTTACATAATTAGTAAAATAAAAATAGACAACAAGCTAAGATTTATTCCTGTTAACCCGCTTACTGAATTACAGTAATGTTTACCATGATGCATTGAATAATCTGTACACATAAGAACGTTACGGTCCAAATTAGCCTGGGTCAATAGGTGTGACAAACTATGATACTTTTTGCCGCAATTATTCTATAGTACATAATACAGTAATTATAATCAATTATATTAATATAAATTAGAAATATTATAATTCAAAAATAAATACCAGTTTCACAGCCGTTGACAGTAAACACTCTGTATATACATCGGCTACACAACAGTCGTATAATCGGTTTTTAGGACTCAAATCCTTAGCTCCCGGTGCCCAAGTGAACAGACATTTACGAGCATCGGGCGTAACTTTACTTAAACAGGAATTAGTCTCCAATTTATCTCGAGTATCCTGTTTTGGGGACAGTAGGTTTATTAAGTCCGCGTGCTCACCGTATGTGACACCGGGTAGTAATAGCCCGCATAACAAAATCATTTTGATTATATGCATAGTTTATGTAAACTTATTGACATACAATTATGATAACATAAGTTTAATTAATTAATTAATTAATTTTTATATTATAAAGTTTGTAAATAGAGAAATACTTTTAATAACTGATCAAAAGCACAAATTATTGATTAGTTTATGTGGATAATGCTTGATTAAGGGTAGATTATATACAGTACTTGAAGTCATATGAATAACACCCACACACTCTGTATACAACTTTATTTTTATTCATTTATCAATTCAATTGTGTAATCCTTGAATCTATGCTAATTATACTAGTAACAGATAATACATGTATACTTTAGAAAGGTTTACTATTATTATATTATACATTAAATTGTTTAATAGATATTTTATTTTATAAACATTCAATACATAATATTTTTAAAAATAAAAGCATAAAACTTAATACAAACAAATATCTAAATAGAGTACGGTAACAGAATTTTAACATACTTTAGTACTACATAAATTTAACAAATATTAGCAAGATTACAATTGCAAATAAGCTACAATTTGTGCCTGATGACCCATTAACCATCCCTTTGATCAGAGATGTTTTATTACAACTTTGTTGATTACCAGGGTACTGATAAGATTTGCATATACCCGAATTACGATCCAATCTAGCCTGTGTTAATTCTTGGAATAGACCATGATACTTTGTGTCACAATTATTCTACACAGTAAATAAACAATCCACAAGGATTAATACAATTTCAAAACAAATTATACCAAGATATTTTTAATATAAATACCTGATTAGTAGCGGTTGATAGCAAGCAATCTGAATATATTGCAGCGACACAGCACAGGTATGTTCGCGATTTACCGGCTAATTCGTGAGCATCCGGCGCTCGTTTGTATAGACATTTGCGAGCGTCGGGTCTATTCCTACCCAAACAGGCATCCCTTTCCAGGTCATTACGAGTATTGGCATTGGGGGTCAGTATGTTGATTAAGTTGTGCTCAACACACGTGACACCCGGTAGTAATAGCCCGCATAAGGCCAATGATATAACTATTAATAAATTCATAACTAATTTAACTTTCAATTAATGAAAACTATTTTCAAAGTTATTGGAAGTTTTAAATGAGAAAAATATTTATTTTAATAGTTTATCAAAAAGACATAAATTAGTGATTAGTTTATGAGATAATGTTTATTAAGCAATTGATTACGTTATGAATAGCACATACACACTGTATTATGTGTTAGTTTTTTGTTGATTAGATTAAATTATTAATGTTAGTCGATGTTGTGTATAAATTTTAATTTTATTAGTTGTATTTCTGGTGATAACACTTAGAAAACCTTCAATACATTTTAAATATACAATATGTAGTCAGCAAGGTCAGTTAAGGGACAATATTGTATTACATGTCTAGTTAATTTTTTATTTTAATTTATAATAAACATAAAATCTGAATTTTAATACTATAATATAAATAAAATTTTGAATATATTATAATAAAAACTTTTAAGAATTATATAAACTAGTTAATTTTATTCATTAATTTAAAATACAAAGTATGCATATTAGTTAACACAACATACAAATTAACAAATAAAATTACATTGGTTAATATACAAATATAAATTCTTACATAAATTTAGCAACAATTAACGAGATAAAAATAATAAAATCGCTTTAATTATCACTTTAATGGTAATTTAGTAACAATTTATTATGTACTTCAAATAAATCTTGGTAATATAAGTGCATGTCTATTGCAATTTTGTTGATTATTTTTATACGGATAGTGTTTACATTGGTCAAAATTCCTATCCAATCTGGCCTGGATCAGTTCATTATTGAGCTCGTTAAATTCATTATCGGGGCAATTAATCTGTAAAAAATAATTACCAATATAATATAATTAAATATCAATAAATACATATACTAAATCACACCATACGTACCTTGACCAGATTAATTTTACTAAATACGCCGTGTATGATTTTTGTATAAAAAACCTCGGTGCTAGCTGACTTCAGTATACAATCCGTATAAATGGCAGCCAAACAGCATAAATAAGTTTGAGATTTACCCGACAATTCCCGGGCGTCCGGCTCCCGACCATACAGACATTGTTCCGAGGGATCAGTATGTCGGGTATAACAGGCGTTCCTCTTAATGGAGTTACGGGTATTTTCGTTAGGGGACAGTATGTCCATTAAGTCATGTTTGGCACCAGTAGTGCCCAATATTAATAACCCGCATAAGGCTATCGATGCGCAGCTAATTGAAAACATAGCTTGATGAGTTTTTCAATAGACTTTAAAACTATTTTATTAGCTTGACACAAAGAGTGATTTTTTGGGATAATATGAAATTTTTAATCGTTTTGTCAAGCTTTTATATCACACCAAGCATAATTATATGAATAGATTTTATGATTTATAATATTTATTATATATTAATACATAATACCGTATAAACCATCAATTACTTTACTAATAATAAACATAACAAAATGATTAACAATTATTTTGATTATGTTATAAATAGCCCTTGGTATAGTAGTACTACAATTTACTACAATTATGAAATAATGTGATTGTATTATATAACATAACATTATATATATATAATTTGTTTCAAACTAAGTCTGTATTATACTATCAATATTTAAGGGAATTCCCTTTGCCTTAAAATTACCCTATACAAGAAGGCATTAATGTCTAATATTATAGTCTATAATTTATAGATATCTAGAAAGTTACATGCATTTTTAACCTTGAGTTAAAATTTGAAAAATCATGATTTAGTATTAAAACGTAAGGTTAATTCAAAATTGACTAATAATTAAATAAATTATTCAATATATTTCAAGGATATATTTGCGAAATCAAAAATCTATAGAAATTACATAACTTTCATGTGTAAAATGTATCTAGTAAAATTATTTAGTCAATATTTTTTAACACTATGATAAATTACTTTAGTATAATAAATATGTTACAATTTAATGTATTATTCTCAACTACAAAATGTTCACATTTTATAATAATCTACAATAAAAGCAATTTGCAACATGTTCAATGCAAATAAATATACATTCACTCACTTAACGTATCATTAAATTTGTATAACACACAAAAAATAACCAAAAATACAAAAACTAACTAAAAAAGTCTCGCAAAATATTCTTTAGCTAATAATAAAAATATTTTTTTTATTGAAAACAAAATTCCCGTTTTTATAGCAAAAATATATTATACACACAGGAATTGTGTCGCAAACGAAATGATAGCCAAAACACATACAAAAACAACAGAAATCTTTCTAATGACATATCATATGTTTGGCGGCAAATGTGTATCAAATAAAAACAATAAGAGAAATACACATAAAAGTCGTGTCCATAAGAAAAGTGAGATAATAGTAGATATCTATTGAGGCAAATAAATATAAGAAATCATTATAAATGTCTAATAAATATATTTAATACCATTCCCGGGATGACTACAAACGTGTATAGATATTGTGGTTTAAATGGGAATTCCTTTGGAAAATGTGCTAGATATTTGTAAACACTGTTTTTATTGATGTAAAAAATAATTATTGCATTACAGTGAACTTGTACATTTTTATGAAATAAATAATGCAATTAGTTTAAACAATTTAATTTGACAAATAAATAAATTGAAAAATATATATTAATTTTTTAGGATAGTTATGTTATAAATTTTTATTAATAGTTATAGTAAGGTTCAAATTAATACCGTAAAATATTTTATTGTATTTAATAAATACAATATAAGTTATAAACAGGCACAAAATATATTAATATAAATTGGTGTTAATGTGTGCACTATTCACGAGAAAAAGTAGAGTTCATTAAAATAGTAAAGTATTTACTCCGCGATTGGCATCAAAAGTCAATAATAGCTAAGTATTGACGGATAAAGTGGTCTAATAAATAAACTTCTGTTACCAGTGGACGGGTACTGTGAGTTAACCCGGCACTGGTAGGTTTTTATTACCACTTTATCCGTCAATACTTAGCTATTATTGACTTTTGATGCCAATCGCGGAGTAAATACTTTACTATTTTA